ATAAATGGGATTAGGTCAGGGGTTTCAAATAGAGTTAGAGCTAAAGAAGGAGTACCAATAATGTTGAAGGATAAGCTATGGCAGGAAAAGAGGGACTACAAATGTATTAATTCAAGGATTATGTGGAGTAAAATAAAGATTGGATATGAAAAGTGGGTTATAGTAACCATGTATGCACCTGGAGAAGAGAGAAGTGTAGAGGAGAGAGATTTTGGGAAATGTTGAGTGAATGCATGGGGAGTTTTGAATCAAGTGTGAGAGTAATGGTGGTTGGGATTTCAATGCTAAAGTGGGTAAAAATGTTATGGAGGGAGTAGTAGGTAATTTTGGGGTGCCAGGGGTAAATGTAAATAGGGAGCCTTTAATTGAGCTATGTGTAGAAAGAAATTTGGTAATAAGTAATTACATATTTTATGAAAAAGAGGATAAATAAATATACAAGGTATGATGTAGCACGTAATGAAAGTAGTTTGTTAGATTATGTATGGTGGATAAAAGGTTGATGGGTAGGCTCCAGGATGTACATGTTTATAGAGGGGCAACTGATATATCGGATCATTATTTAGTTGTAGCTACAGTTAGAGTAAGAGGTAGATGGGAAAAAGAGGAAGGTGGCAACAACAAGTAAGAGGGAGGTGAAAGTGTATAAACTAAGGGAGGAGGAAGTTCGGTGCGAGATATAAGCGACTATTGGCAGAAAGGTGGGCTAGTGCAAAGATGAGTAGTGGGGGGGTTGAAGAGGGTTGGAATAGTTTTAAAAATGCAGTATTAGAATGTGGGGCAGAAGTTTGTGGTTATAGGAGGGTGGGGGCAGGAGGAAAGAGGAGTGATTGGTGGAATGATGAAGTAAAGGGTGTGATAAAGAGAAAAAGGTAGCTTACGAGAGGTTTTTACAAAGCAGAAGTGTTTATAAGAAGAGCAGAGTATATGGAGAGTAAAAGAAAGGTGAAGAGAGTGGTGAGAGAGAGTGCAAAAGGAGAGCAGATGAAAGAGTGGGAGAGGCACTGTCAAGAAATTTTTATGAAAATAAGAAAAAATTTTGGAGTGAGTTTAAACAAGTTAGGAAGCCTAGGGAAGTATGGATTTGTCAGTTAAAAACAGAGTAGGGGAGTTAATAGATGGGGAGAGGGAGGTATTAGGTAGATGGCGAGAATATTTTGAGGAACTTTTAATGTTAAGGAAGAAAGGGAGGCAGTAATTTCGTGCACTGGCCAGGGAGGTATACCATCTTTTAGGAGTGAGAAGAGCAGAATGTAAGTGTGGTGGAGGTACGTGAGGCATTACGTAGAATGAAAGGGGGGTAAAGCAGCTGGAACTGATGGGATCATGACAGAAATGTTAAAAGCAGGGGGGGATATAGTGTTGGAGTGGTTGGTACTTTTGTTTAATAAATGTATGAAAGAGGGGAAGGTACCTAGGGATTGGCAGAGAGCATGTATAGTCCCTTTATATAAAGGGAAAGGGGACAAAAGAGATTGTAAAAATTATAGAGGAATAAGTTTACTGAGTATAACCAGGAAAAGTATACGGTAGGGTTATAATTGAAAGAATTAGAGGTAAGACAGAATGTAGAATTGCGGACGAGCAAGGAGGCTTCAGAGTGGGTAGGGGATGTGTAGATCAAGTGTTTACATTGAAATATATATGTGAACAGTATTTAGATAAAGGTAGGGAAGTTTTTATTGCATTTATGGATTTAGAAAAGGCATATGATAGAGTGGATAGAGGAGCAATGTGGCAGATGTTGCAAGTATATGGAATAGGTGGTAAGTTACTAAATGCTGTAAAGAGCTTTTATGAGGATAGTGAGGCTCAGGTTAGGGTGTGTAGAAGAGAAGGAGAATACTTCCCGGTAAAAGTAGGTCTTAGACAGGGATGTGTAATGTCACCATGGTTGTTTAATATATTTATAGATGGGGTTGTAAAAGAAGTAAATGCTAGGGTGTTCGGGAGAGGGGTGGGATTAAATTATGGGGAATCAAATTCAAAATGGGAATTGACACAGTTACTTTTTGCTGATGATACTGTGGCTTATGGGAGATTCTAAAGAAAAATTACAAAGGTTAGTGGATGAGTTTGAGAATGTGTGTAAGTAGAAAGTTGAAAGTGAACATAGAAAAGAGTAAGGTGATGAGGGTATCAAATGATTTAGATAAAGAAAAATTGGATATCAAATTGGGGAGGAGGAGTAGGAAGAAAGTGAATGTTTTCAGATACTTGGGAGTTGACGTGTCGGCGGATGGATTTATGAAGGATGAGGTTAATCATAGAATTGATGAGGGAAAAAAGGTGAGTGGTGCGTTGAGGTATATGTGGAGTCAAAAAACGTTATCTATGGAGGCAAAGAAGGGAATGTATGAAAGTATAGTAGTACCAACACTCTTATATGGATGTGAAGCTTGGGTGGTAAATGCAGCAGCGAGGAGACAGTTGGAGGCAGTGGAGATGTCTGTCTAAGGGCAATGTGTGGTGTAAATATTATGCAGAAAATTCGGAGTGTGGAAATTAGGAGAAGGTGTGGAGTTAATAAAAGCATTAGTCAGAGGGCAGAAGAGGGGTTGTTGAGGTGGTTTGGTCATTTAGAGAGAATGGATCAAAGTAGAATGACATGGAAAGCATATAAATCTATAGGGGAAGGAAAGAGGGGTAGGGGTCGTCCTCGAAAGGGTTGGAAAGAGGGGGTAAAGGAGGTTTTGTGGGTGAGGGGCTTGGACTTCCAGCAAGCGTGCGTGAGCGTGTTAGATAGGAGTGAATGGAGACGAATGATACTTGGGACCTGACGATCTGTTGGAGTGTGAGCAGGGTAATATTTAGTGAAGGGATTCAGGGAAACGGTTATTTTCATATAGTCGGACTTGAGTCCTGGAAATGGGAAGTACAATGCCTGCACTTTAAAGGAGGGGTTTGGGATATTGGCAGTTTGGAGGGATATGTTGTGTATCTCTATATATATATGCTTCTAAACTGTTGTATTCTGAGCATCTCTGCAAAAGCAGTGATAATGTTGTGAGTGTGGTGAAAGTGTTCAATGATGATGAAAGTATTTTCTTTTTGGGGATTTTCTTTCTTTTTTTTTGGGTCACCCTGCCTCGGTGGGAGACGGCCGACTTGTTGAAAAAAAAAAAAAAAAATAATATATATATATATATATATATATATATAACACACACACACACACACACACACACACACACACACACACACACACACACACACACACACACACACACACACACACACACACACACAAAACACAACACGTATATGTAAACTGTACAATTAAACCCTCAATTTATCAGACTATGGATTTTTTTTTTTTCAACAAGTCAGCTGTCTTCCACCAAGGCAGGGTGACCCAAAAAGAAATAAAATCCCCAAAAAGAAAATACTCTCATCATCATTCAACACTTTCACCTCACTCATACATAATCACTGTCTACGCAGAGGCACCCAGATACAACAGTTTAGAAGCATATATAAAGATATATAACATACCCCTTCAAACTGCCAATATCTCAAACTCCTCCTTTAAAGTGCAGGCATTGTACTTCCCATTTCCAGTAACTCAAGTCCGGCTATATAAAAATAACTGGGTTCCCTAAATCCCTTCACTAAATGTTACCCTGCTCACACTTCAACAGCTCGTCAGGTCCCAAAAACCATTTGTCTCCATTCACACTTATCTAACACGCTCACGCATGCTTGCTGGAAGTCCAAGCCCCTCGTCCACAAAACTTCCTTTACCACCCTCCCTCCAACCCTTTCAAGGAAGATCCCTACCCCGCCTTCCTTCCCCTACAGATTTATATGCTCTCCAAGTCATTCTACTTTAATCCATTCTCCCTTAATGCCCAAACCACCTCAACAACCCCTCTTCAGCCCTCTAATACTTTTATTAACTCCACACCTTTTCCTAATTTCCAAACTCCAAATTCTCTGCATAATATTTACACCACACATTGCCCTTAGACAGGACAACTCCACTGCCTCCAGCCACCTCCTCACTGCAGCATTTACAATCCAAGTTTCACAACCAGAGAGTGTTGGTACCACTATACTTTCGTACATTCCCTTCTTTGCCTCCATGGATAACTATGGAATTACAGGACAAAATCTGCCATCATCTGATTCAGAAACAATGGACAAAGTCCACTGACTGCAGAATTTTCTGCTATTTTGGCTACGGAAAATTATCTAGCTCTCCATCTAACACAATCTCCTATAGCGGCAATCCACGCTCCCCTATTAAACAAACATTTTCACGCTATTCTTTACATTAAAACATCAAAAATATATATTGTAATAATATGTACATTACTGATTCTATCTCACTAAGCCCAATTTCCATGTATATTCTGCTATCTGAAAATATATGATCTTCCTATAGCTTACCAAACATTACAAAATGCTCGACAGATGATTCTAAAAAATGTAGCTTGGCTTTAATATAAAAGTAGTTCAGTGGATGTAAAAGACACGCATCATTAGCCTTCATTATAATGTTTCACTTCAAGGGAAGCTTTATCAATTAAAACCACCCTTAAAATGAAACATCATTATAAAGGCTTAAGCTGTTTTGCAGATCCACTTGTCGGCTCATAGCCTCTTCTACTTAATGTACTTCAGTGCATATGTTGGATGAAATTCAATAGAGATCAATTTATATTCAGCACATTTATTTGCAACAAAATTAGAAAGAAAATTATCCAATTAAAAATGTGCCCTTTTGAAAGAAGAAATTTCCAACTCTAACACTTACTGTACATATCTTGTCAAGGCAAGGTTGTCGTAAGAGGTGTGTTTACAAAAATAAAACGACAAAGAAGCATTGTGCATACCAATCCACAAAGATACTTGTATATAATGACCCCTAATTAATAGTCCATGGAAATATATGTGCAGAAAATAAACTAATTGTATGATGTGAAAAAAAAAGCAGTAACCAAATAAACAAACAAGGTAAACTACCATCATGAACAAGACTAAATACAAATACTTACAGTTCTGATCTGAATCTTCTATGAGAATTCTCAGTTTTTGCACACACAACTGCAAAGAAAGACAGAATCATAATTACCTACAGGGTACACATTATTTGTAATTACCTATCTGAGTTAGCAAGGGGTGAGCTTCAACTCTTGGTCCCACCTCTTAACTTACAACAAATACTAGTATGAAACTGAGCATTCAAATATATTTGTTAACTAATTTATCACATGAATTGAACAGTGTTGGATATTCAGTGCTGCATGGCAACAGTGAAGCTAACAGCAGCAGCAGCAGCAGAAATACAGTAGGGCCCCACTTACATGGCAGGTTAGGTTCCAGGCTACTGCCAGAAAGCAGACATCACCGGAAAGCAGAACACCATTTTCTCCACTTACAAATGCATATAAATGTCAGATAACAAGTTACACTAACATATATTAAGTTATCAATAGAACTAGGCATTAAAACAATAAAACAGTAAAATACACACACAGTATACTTATTATTTACCTCAAAATATTCGTAGTCTTAATGTAGTGAAAAAGGTGAGTAGTATTTACTCTAAGACGTTAGGTGTGGTAGCCCTCCTGGCCACCCCACCCACATATAATATACTATGATGATGCTTAAAGCTCCATAGAGTGATAAAATGCATATACAGTACACTCATTACTTACCTTAAAATATTTGTAGTCTTAATGTAGGGTAAAAGGTGAAAAGCATTTGTAGAAAGTCGTGTGGTAGGTAGGGTAGTGTCAGGATGCCAGCCTGGCCACCCCACCATTTAAACAGACAATGCATCTGGTTATGGTTCATAAACATTCATACAAACACTTTACATTGTGTACAAGTTGTCTCAACAGTGGTACAGTAGAATAAATAAAGACCAACACTTCCATTCTCATGTATTTTTTAGAAGGAATGATGCTCTGACAAATTATTATTATTACAGGTACCATCCAACTTACAAGCGACTTTGGTTCCGACAAACTGGTCATAAGTCGAAATGGACGTAAGTCGAACTTTACTACTGAATATCAACATCACATTTTTGTATTGACTTTATTTCATTGTTTTATTTTGGTATTTCATTTTTTACTTTACTTTTTATGCTGTTAGTACTGTATTTTATACTGTAAGGTTTAGGATAAACACTGTGTACAACACAAACAGTTGTTTATTTCCCAGAAATTTGGCATAGAAAACACGGTCTTAAGTCGAATGGTCATATGTCGAGCAGGTCGTAAGTCGGATGGTAGGTATATTATTATTATTACAAATTATTATAAGTTATTATTATTGCAAGTTGTTATTATTATAATCATAATAAAAAAGAAGCAGTAAACCCACAAGGGTCATGAATTGCTATATATAGAGTGAAGGCATACGTAAGGAATATTTATCTACAGTTATCCCCCAGTGTTTGACTAGAGAAATGTAATTCTTCCGACACTCCTACAAAGCCGCTTTGTAAACAAATCTCATATTTATGTCAATTTTTATTCTGTTGGTGTATGTATAATGTTTATATGCTATTTAACATGTTTCTTATATAATTTTGACGAAAATATCATAGATGGATTAATCAAAATGTCTATATTAACGTAAAATAAGACATTTAACCCTTTCAGGGTCCGTGCCGTAGATCTACGGCTTTACATTCAGGGTCCAATCCAAACCATAGATCTACGCAATGAGCTCAACTCACTCTGATAAGCTGTGAGCAGTAAATTTGGGCCTAGATATGAGAGACTACATCTATGTGGTATGTGTGCACCACATAAAACAAATCCTGCAGCACACAGTGCATAATGAGATAAAAAAAAAACTGAGACCGTAATTTTCGATTAAAACCGACTCCGCAGTGTTTTTTCGTATGTTTTTTATAGTTGTATTTGCAATTTCTTGGTGTCATTTGATAGTATGGAAGATATACTACAGAAATAGAGATGATTTTGATTGGTTTTAGTAATGGAAATGGCTTGAAACTGAGCTCAGAGTAGCAGAAATGTTAAATTTTTGCTGATGTTCAAGAGTAAACAAATGACCTCACAAGTCTAATACATGACAGCTGGTGGATCTAATATACATTCACAAATGTGGGGATATTATTTATACAATTATTACAGTATTGCATAACAAAAAATCTTCTATTTTTTGGTTTGAATAAAAATTCATTATGTGATTAAAAATCAAAATGGAATTTATTTGTAAAGCCTGAAAATGTAACTAATGAACAGAGGAAATGTTAGTTTAGTGCCAGGAATTCCTGCATTGTTTATTCTGGACTCTATTTTGAAATTAGAATATTTTGAACTTTGAATTAAATTGGCCAAATTACCAATTTCCGATCACTTTAATTTGTAGTTGAAACAGTTGACTTAGCGATTCCTTGTGCCCAATCGATAGAATAGAAGTAATACTAGTGAAATAGCTAAGAATTTGGTTGACTGGAATAATGTAATTGGCCTAAAATGGGAGTCAAAGTCGACAAAATTGCCGATGCATAAATATAGCCGACGCATCAAAATTCGTGAGAGCATAATTTCGTCAATTTTCCATCAAATTTCATACTTTTTGTTACCTTCAGAAAAAAATTAATAAGAAAAATAACAATTATTTTTTGAAAATTCTTGGACCCTGGTGCACACTTTGAAATTTGGCCTCTGGACCCTGAAAGGGTTAATGTGCCCAAGAGAAATTATTATTACGTAGTATTACTATGGCGTCATGAGTAGAGAGACTCTTAGTGATTTTAATGTGTACGTGCATGCCAGCACAGTGTGTAAATATATTTAGGTACAGGTACACATAAGCATAATTATCAGAGTACATACAAAATATGCAATAACTTTAAAACACTTGAAATTTTGGAAAGTTTCTAGACATAATAGATGTGCTCACAGAGAATGTAAACAAACCGGGTGGGGCACACTGTATTTGAAAGATCGCTTGCCGTATAGCAAATTTTGGTCATAATTTGAAATCGCCATATCAGCGGAAAGCCGTAAGGGAAACGCCGTAAAGCGGGGCCCTACTGTACTGTATTAAGTGTGAGCCCATGGACAAAAGGAAACCCCCAGATAATCTAGTAAATCAGTTTGTTAAAAAAAAAATTATGGAATCTGCAATAAAGATGATATTGTCAGTAAAGAGGATAAACAGGTTCTGAAGGAGGTGAAAGTGAAGCCTGCATGCTCTCTAACCTAGATCAGAGCATTTTCTGATTTATAGTGATGACCTGCACAACTTTGGGCAAAAATACTGGCAAATTCTTTTCCTTTAACACAATGGCCATCTCCCACCGAGACAGTCTTTGCAGAGGTACACAGAGATGACAGTATAGATGTCACTCTAAACAGCAAATATCCCAAACCCCTCCTGTAAAGTGCAGGCACTGTGCTTCCCACCTCCAGGACTCAAATCCAGCTAACTGACTTCCCAGAATCCCTTCACACTCCAACAGATTGTCAAGTCCCAAAAATCATTTGTCTCTACTCGCTATCAAACAAGTAAAATTTATTATTAAAATAAAACCATCCCTTTTGCAATAAATTGGAACATTTTCTCAAGTTTTTTGTGACTATTGTTAATTACTATATTACACATGCCAAAGTACTATCTCTTTAACAAATCCATTAACACTTACCATGCTCAATCAATACCAACCACTCCAACACTAAATTCCCCCCTGCTTTTAACATTTCTGTCATGATCCCATCAGTTCCTGCTGCTTTACCCAGTTTCATTCTATGTAGCACTGCCCCCCCCACACTCACATCCTGCTCTTCTTCACTCTTAAAAGATGCTATACCTCCCTGACCAGTGCATGAAATTACCGCCTCCCTTTCATCATCGACACTTAAAAGTTCCTCAAAATATTCCCGCCATCTACCCAATACCTCCAGCTCCCCATCTCCTAATTCCATATTCTGTTTTTAACTGACAAATCTATTCATTCCCTAGGCTTTCTTGTTTTATCTCACTCCAAATTTTTTTTCTTATTTTCAGCAAAATTTCTTGCCAGTGCCTCTCCCACTCTTTCATCTGCTCTCTTCTTGCACTCTCTCACCACTCTCTTCACTTTTCTTTTACTCTCCATATACTCTGCTCTTCTTACAACTTATCATTCTACCAATCATTCCTCTTTCCTCCTGCACCCACCCTCCTATAGCCACAAACTTCTGTCCCACATTCTAATACTGCACTTTTAAAACTATTCCAACCCTCTTCAACCCCCCCACTACTCATACTTGCACTAGCCCACCTTTCTGCCAATAGTTGCTTATATCTCACCCTAACTTACTCCTCCCTTAGTTTATACACTTTCACCTTCCTCTTACTTGCTGTTGCCATTTTTCTTGTATCCCATCTACCTCTTACTCTAACTGTAGCTACAACTAAATAATGATCCGATATATCAGTTGCCCCTCTATAAACATGTACATCCTGAAGCCTACCCATCAACCTTTTATCCACCAATACATAATCTAACAAACTACTCACTATGTGCTCTATCATACCTTGTATACTTATTTATCCTCTTCTTCATAAAATATGCATTACTTATTACCAAACCTCTTTCTACACATAGCTCAATTAAAGGTTCCCCATTTTCATTTACCCCTGGCACCCCAAATTTACCAACTACTCCCTCCACAACATTTTTACCCACTTTAGCATTGAGATTCCCAACCACAAGTACTCTCTCACGTGGTTCAAAACTCCCCACGCACTCACTCAACATTTCCCAAAATCTCTCTCTCTCCTCTACACTTCTCTCTTTTCCAGGTGCATAAACATTTACTATAACCAACTTTTCACATCCAACCCATATTTTACACCACATAATCCTTGAATTTATGCATTTATATTCCCTCTTTTCCTGCCATAACTGATCCTGCAACATTACTGCTACTCATTCTTCAGCTCTAATTCTATTTGAAACCCCTGTCCTGATCCATTTATTTCTCCCCACCAAAACTCTTCTAACCCCTTCACCTTTGTTTCACTTAAAGCCAGGACATCCAGCTTCTTCTCATTCATAACATCCACAATCATTTCTTTCTTATCATTCACACAACATCCACGCACATTCAGACTTCCCACTTTGACAATTTTCTTATTCTTTTTAGTAATTATTACAGGAAAAGGGGTTACTAGCCCACTGTTCTTATTCCATTTCCCCATGGATATAAAATGAAAAGCACTAAGAACTATAAGATAAAATCAAAGAAAACTCAGACGAGTGTGTATGCATAAACATGTACATGTATGTGTAGTGTGACCTAAGTGTATGTAGAAGTAGCAAGACGTACCTGAAATCTTGCATGTTTATGAGACAGAAAAACAGACACCAGCAATCCTACCAACATGTTAAAAAAATTTTGTTTGTTATGTCAGTTAAATTGTGATACCTTACTATTCAGACTATTTCATCTAGACTGATTTAGACTAAGCATGGAGATTTCTGGTATCAGGCTTGTGATGACTACCTTGAGCATTGGGCACACCTGGAGTTTGAAATCTGACTTGCACACGAAAATCACTCACTACGAAAGCAAAAGACTTGGCAGACGATGCAACATCCACCCAATGAAAAGCAGGGGTGTCACTAGCACGTTAAGAGACCATACAATAAGTGTCAGGGGCCCGAGACTGTTCAACTGCTTCCCAGCATACATAAGGGGGATTACCAACAGACCCCTGGCAGTCTTCAAGCTGGCACTAGACAAGCACCTAAAGTCGGTTCCTGATCAGCCAGGCTGTAGCTCGTACGTTGGTTTGTGTGCAGCCAGCAGCAACAGCCTGGTTGATCAGGCTCTGATCCACCAGGAGGCCTGGTCACAGACCGGGCCGCGGGGGCGTTGACCCCCGGAACTCTCTCCAGGTAAACTCCAGGTAAACTCCTGGCACAATTACTTGATGCCTGCACATCATGGTGTAATGTCTGAATTTTCATTTAAGAAGCTTTAATTTTTCTTGTATTAATTGCTATTAAACTAAATAAAAACTAATTGCAAATAGTAAGGGTTAAATAATATGATAAAACTGTTGTAAGTAATAACAGTTACCAAAGATTGAGACATTATACTTGCCTGAGGATAATTTAATAAATTGTTTGAAAATTTTATCCATCCCCTCCAGATATTTAATCAGCAATTATCCATATTAGGGGTGTGCTGAAGTACTGGTATCAGTACCAGTGGATACTGGTTAGTTTCATGATACTGGTGGGTATATGCTAATTTTAACTTAATAATACTAGTATCAGTAGGTATCTGATAATTTTTCTCTTATCAGTACTGTATCAGTTTAAAATCAAGTATCATCCCCTCATTAATCTATGCAACCAAGGAATTACTGTATAAATTAACACTGTTGATGAACCTCATTAAATGCTTACCTTTGAAAATTTTAGTGTATAAAGCTACAACTTTATTAAAATAAAGAGAATAGATTATACTTCACCAATACAGATTGTCAACAAAATGTGATAGTCCTTCAAGTCTTCCCCTCAGATGACCAGCTACTACATAGAGGAATAATATAAGGAACAAAACTCTAATCAACCAACTGAAGCTCACAATATGTATATACAGGATGCAAGACAATGCAGTAAATTAAAAGCAGAGACAAATAAAACAATAATGTTACAAAATACAAAAGCATAATTGCTGTTCCCAGGAAAGAAAATAATAATACAGTAATAATACCAGCAGCAGCCCATACTAAGTTTACAAGCATCAGGTGGTTATTCACAAAGCTGAACACTCACTGAGGCTACTCTGAAACTATTCCTGAGTATACAATATATGAATGTAGAATCCTGTCAGCCAGTCATAAATACATTTGCATATCAATGTGCAACAGCAGCCAGGAGTTAAGGTACGATAAAGTTATTTCTTTTTACTTTTTTACACTGCCCCCCCCAATATAATGGAAACAAAAGGCATAAAGCCAACAAGTGGTGATAAAGACAACTGCAGAGAGGAACATTATTTACCTGTGGACAGGGTTCTTTATCGACTGAAGAAGCCTGTCCATGGGATAAAACTGTCTTTTAAAAAAATGGCTTGCCCCATTTTTGGATTTCAAAGGAACATACCCCTATTTTTTCCATAAGTTCTTTAATCTGAATAATGTTAATCTGAATACAACACCAATTTTCTGAAACATAACGTGCATGTTACTCAAGGAGTCCACTGTACATAAATGATAGTTCTTCTGTTATAAACTATATGACATGAACATTATTCCATTTTCCACTTTCATGCAGTAGGTAAGCATTCAACAGGAATGAGTGAAAAAATTGTGTGTGGGGAAGGGGTACTGCTAATATACTATAACCAAAAAAAAATTTTTTTTCAACATGCCAGCTGTCTCTCACTGAGGCAGGGTGACCCAAAAATGAAAGAAACACTTTCACCATCATTCACACATAATCACTGTTGCAGAGGTGCCCAGATATGACAGTTTATATTTCACTCCAAACAGCCAATATCCCAAACCCCTCCTTTAAAGTGCAGGCATTGTACTTCCCACCTCCAGAACTTAAGCCCAGTTAACTGGTTTCTCTGAATCTCTTTGCAAAATATTACCCTGCTCACACCAATAGCTCATCAGGTCCCAAAAATTATTCATCTCCAGTCACCTTTTACCCCCTCCCTCCATCCTTTCTTAGGACAACCCCTCCCCCTCCTCCCCTCCACTACAGATTTATAACTATTTTAATAGGAATCAGATTACATTTTCATCATAAGAACTGTCCCTTGTAACAACTGTGCATAAACTGTACATAAAGACAATGTAATTGTACCTGTATGGAGGCGTTGTGGTTTGGCATCCCTGAAGAAATAGAAATGAGCACTGTGAGAGCACATGGGGAGAGAAAGAGAACAGATCAGTATACAAAAACAAGAATTTTTTTTTTTCATTTTAAATATGAACTGATACCTAACTCAATTTTAACAGATACCTGTAATACAATTATATGTCTATTCAAACTGACAAAAATAATACACTTTACTTGAAATATAGTACTTAAACTCCCCACAACAGGACAATTGCATTAATTAATACAACCAAGCAAAAAGCTGAATTAGAAACTTGACACCAAAACATACCAGCAATGACTGTGTTGATGCACTCATACAGAAGGGACATAGCTGAAGTACTGCAAAAAAAAAAAAAAAAAAAATTAATGGAGGTAAAAGTTAAGCTTTCAGTTATATTTCAATATTATGGCAAATGTATCAAAGGCTCATATTTACACCTCTAATATTATACTACAGTACTGTACTTCTAATTAATCTAAATCACTCTGCTGTACTAAATAGCAAAAAGATATTCTAGCAACTTTTAAGTTTTATAAATAAATGCAAAAGAAATGTACATACAGTATATTTCTAACTGACAGATCACTATGCATGTCAGGTAAAAGGACACAAGTGCAACTAATGTGACATTTTATTGTAGCAACGTTTCACTCTCCAGGAGCTTTATCAAGCCATGACCGACTTGACAAAGCTCCTGGAGAGTGAAACATTGCTAAAATAAAATGTCATATTAGCTGTACCTGTGTCCTTTTACTTAACATATTGTTGGTAATTCTACCAATATTAATACACTATGGTAATATAAACACATATGCATGTTTCCATTGTGTCGGTATTTTATACCATTTATTTTCATTAATACACTATGCATGTCATTTCAAAAGTACACAAGGTAAGTAAAAACACTTCAAATATTATAGGCTTTGCATCACTATACAGGTCCTCCATCATAAATCCGGCATCATTGGGACCTGTAGTGTGCCAAATTACTGAGTTTGCCGAATTACAGAGTGGTTAGGTTAGAATACACTTAATAAAATTAACCAACTTGACTTACACAGTTCATTGAACATTGGCAAAAATCGAACATTTCCGCTACTTTGAGTTCAATTTCAAGGTACTTTTCATCACGAAAGCAATCAAAATCATGTCTATTTCTGGAATATATCTTCCATTCTATCAAATGAGTCCAAAAAATGAGAATACAACAATAAAAACCATACGAAAATATACTGCAAAGAGGCGGCTAATGGCTGAGAAGTGAACTCCCTTATTAATCGTCCATCTTTTTTATTTTTGTTGTACGTTAAGAAGCATTTTTCCATCATACATTGCCCAAGTTTCAATGAGATAGCCCAACAAACAACCGAGAAAAAAAAAGTATTTACCAAAAATCATATATGGCAATGCCAAGCCAGGTACTGGAAATAAGTCACTTTGACTTTTTTGGGTTATCCCAGGTTCTCTATACATACACTCTATGTATGATAATTTATGTAACTGTATTTGTGTATACCTGAATAAACTTATTTACTTCTAGTCTGTCAACTGAGTACAAGAAACCCATAAAGTGGTCAGAAATTGGCAATTTGTCCGATTTCACACAAATTTCAACAGATGTCAATTTCAAAATAGTGTCCAGAATAAACAATGCAGACATTCCTGGCACTAAAATAACATTTCCTCTGTTCATTAGTCACAGCTACAGGCCCCTCTTATATTACTCTTGCTTACCACTTGGAATTTTTATTCACAAAAAAATTAGAAGATTTACTGTTATGCAGACTACTGCATTATGGTAATAACTGTATAAATAATGTCAATCCATTCTTGACTCCGTACTAGAATTTAGACTGGCAGGCGGACAGGTATTGAACGGCGACGTCATTTGTTTACTCTTGAGCTTCGCTAAAGAATAGAACATTTTCGCTACTGTGAGCGCAAATTCAAGATACTTTTCGTCATGAAAGCAATCAAAATCATATCTATTTCTGTAATATATCGTTCATTCTATCAAATGAGACCGAAAAAATGAGAATATAACCATAACCATACAAAAATGTACCGCTAAGTGGCCGCTAATGGCTGAGAAGTGAACTCCGCTATTTATGGTCTGATTACTTTCATTTTTGGTGTACATGAAGAAGTATCTTTCCATCATACATTGCCCAAGCTTGATTGAATAAGGTAACCCAACAAACAACTGAGAAAATAATAATAATAATAATAATAATAATATCTTTATTTACTACACGTACATGTACAAGGTATACAGGCCTAGCTGACATCAGTGACATACTGTATAGAAAGGCACTTGTTATGCTGAGTATTTCAAGAAAATTAGGTCAGTGTCCCAGGATAACACCCACACTAGTCGACTAACACCCAGGTACCCATTTACTGATGGGTAAACATAGACAACAGGTGTAAAGAAACACGCCTAATGTTTCTACCCGGCTGGGAATCAAATATTTACCAAAAATCATATATGGCTAACCCAAGCCAAGTACTAAAAATAAGCCACGTTGACTTTTTTGGGGTTATCCTAGGTTCTCTACACATATGCTGCTGTGTGAGATAATCTATAGAGAGAAAATAACTTTTTTGTTTCATGTTTATGGTGGAGTACGAGTGTATATCACAGTTAGCCCTGTGCTATACTCCGTTTTCTCTAATATAAGCCCCCAAGACAGGGATAGGAGAATGGTATTTGCTTACCATATCCTCTTCATAACTCTGTCGAACTGCTCGGTGTTATGCCAAATATTATTCATTCTGGAGTATTTAACATGTTTTATGTTATTTATATTGTTTCTTATGTCATATTAGATCAATTGTGATAGGCAAATAAGCTGTAGTGTTGATATTAGCGTAATAATACAGCATATTCTCCTGCATCATGAGACTGAGCTCATGGCAACCGACAGTGGCTTTAAAGCCACCTTATCTTTAATGGATAATGTACTGTGTAGGTGCTTTACATAATGAGAAGCATTTCTTTTATTCATTGGAACCATAGCTAAGGCTAAAAGTAAGCAGGTTAAAACAATAAATGGAGAAAAAGAAATTGGAATGACTTATGCAGCAAGTAGCGCCACCAAACAGTACCAGCAAGTTGGTGTGGCAACCCTGGAAATTTGAAATTATGCTAGCCAAAATTAGTGCCGAATAACTGAAGGAACCGAATAACTGATTGCCGGATTTGTGATGGCGGACCTGTAGATACTGTCTGTAGCACAGCAACATCTCTTAACTGTACATGAGGCCCTCCACATTTGCGAGCTTCGAACATTCGTGAATGCCCAGCCGCCCAATCAAGTGTCACAAGCATGAAACAGTGTGACGTCTAAGATGGAATCAGCATTATTTGTGTGGATTTCAGACCAAAATAGAAAAGGAAATCCTATAGACAGCAATGCAATTCGTGCAAAGGGAAAGACTTTGTATGATACGTTGGTTAGTGATGAGGCTAGCACCAGTGCAGAACCAGAATGTCCTACCATCACCCATCCTGAGTTGGAATCCACATACTAGACTCATCATGCCATGCAGTTACAGTCCATATAATAACCTCCATTCAACTGTCATCATTAACTGCATGGCTATCATCACCATCATCATCATCATTGTCATCATCATCACAAGTCATAAGAGTTCGTCTGTCTAACCTTACAAGTAGCGAGAGTTTTGATTGTTCGTTATTTGTGACTAAACCATAACATGTGTATACATATATATCGGATATGTCGGATCATTATTTAGTTGTAGCTACAGTTAGAGTAAGAGGTAGATGGGAAAAGAGGAAGGTGGCAACAACAAGTAAGAGGGAGGTGAAAGTGTATAAACTAAGGGAGGAGGAAGTTCGGGTGAGATATAAGCGACTATTGGCAGAAAGGTGGGCTAGTGCAAAGATGAGCAGTGGGGGGGTTGAAGAGGGTTGGATGAGTTTTAAAAATGCAGTATTAGAATGTGGGGCAGAAGTTTGTGGTTATAGGAGGGTGGGGGCAGGAGGAAAGAGGAGTGATTGGTGGAATGATGAAGTAAAGGGTGTGATAAGAGAAAAAGGTAGCTTATGAGAGGTTTTTACAAAGCAGAAGTATTATAAGAAGAGCAGAGTATATGGAGAGTAAAAGAAAGGTAAAGAGAGTGGTGAGAGAGTGCAAAAGGAGAGCAGATGATAGAGTGGGAGAGGCACTGTCAAGAAATTTTAATGAAAATAAGAAAAAATTTTGGAGTTAAACAAGTTAAGAAAGCCTAGGGAAAGTATGGATTTGTCAGTTAAAAACAGAGTAGGGGAGTTAGTAGATGGGGAGATGGAGGTATTAGGTAGATGGCGAGAAATTTGAGGAATTAAATGTTAAGCAAGAAACGAGGCAGTAAATTTCATGCATGTCAGGGAGAATACCATTTTAGGAGTGAAGAAAGCAGAATGTAAGTGTAGGGGAGGTACGTGAGGCATTAGTAAGTTATAGGGGGGTAGGATATGGTAGTGGCAGAGAATTTAGGAATTAATGAAGAAGTAAAAGCAGGGGGGGAATATAGTGTTGAGGTAGGTTGTAATTTGTTTAATAAAGATGAAAGAGAAGTGTAAGTTAGGGATTGGTAGGAGGCATATACGTTATAAATGAAAGGGGGTAAAAGAGACTGGAAAATTATTTATTGTATTGAATGTTTAAAGCCGGGCGAGTCCATAAGGGTGGAGTGGTTGGAAAAAAAAAATTCCTCAATAATTCACTCCAATAGTGCTTGCCAGAAGGCTGATTGCAAAACAGTTTAAACTTGCAACATTGAAAGCCCTTAAGAGTGCGGACTGAAATTCATCAGGAATCAAGTTCGGCTGTTTCCTGGAAATATCCGGTATAATGTTATAATTGACAATAATAGAGTCAGATATAAAAACGATTGTCTGCCATAGCTTATCAGAACACGTCACGGGATGCTGCTGGAAGTGTTACCCCCGACTAAAAATCTACTTTAACCTCATAGGGAACTTTATTGCATTAGGACTTTAACGCTTCATTACTACAGACTGATAACTGGAAGTCATGATTTGCAGTTTTGAAAAGCTAACACTATTAAATCCTGTACAGTTCTTGAGGAACAGTTTAGTATCCCGACCTTGAGACGAACTTCCACGTAAATCTAGCTTATTGCTACATGCCCATGGTTTTAAATACTTCATGCCTCGCCTTCTCCTCGCTGCAACATCATACCCACGCTTCACCCGAGAAAGAGGTTGGTTAAAATTTTGGAATACATTCATACATGCACTCTTGTCAGACAAAATTCTTTTTCACAGACTCCTATGGGATTCATAAAGTAAAATTGCCATTAATTT